CATTTGCTGTTATGTTAAACTTATATTAAAGTTTTTTCTTCATTACTCATTCAAGCCGTCTCCAGCCATTTTTTAGACTAATTTGTTTTGGTAAACCTTCATGTTTTAAGACTGGAAAGGTAAATACAGGTATCATACCTTAAGTTGAAACAAGCAGTTTCCAGTATTATAAGCTCCCAATAAATTCAATCATTTTCTTCAGTATTAATGTTTCTTACTTGTTTGCAAATGTTTTCTTTTTTTTGAAATGAGAGCAATAATGCTTTTACCAATATGCATTTTTAATTTAAAAGTATGCTTGTTTTATTTTACAGCCTGTTTTGATGGATTTGGCCACAGGACAACAAGTTTCTGTAATATTTTTAGACACTGAAGGTAAGAAGGTTGTATAGAATTCTCTACAAATTCTTTCAAAATTACTTTTAGAAACAATAACCTTTTTTTTTTCAACTAAAAAATGCTTACTGCAATCAAGCATGTAAGGTTAATAATGTGCAAGTGCACCACTAACTTTAGAAACTGTGTCATTTATTGAATGCTATGTTAGCACATTCTGAGACAATAACTCACCTCCTCATGCAGAAAGCTGTGTGTCTGCCTAAAACACTTTCATGCCACTAGCCTTGAAGCATCTCCCACCTAATTTCAAGTGTTTTGACATGAACTGCACTGGTGCATGATGATATCATGTAACAAAAGCCCTCCACCAATAGGAAGACAACACAACTTTCATGCACAGTAACTTACTCTATGCGCTTACACCTGTGATAGGTATATTCTTCTCCTCAACATTGTATTGAACAGACGTAGTTAAATTTCTCGTCAGAGTTTAAGTTGTTGAGATGTGCATTGTTAATGAAACTTTGATTTTTGTTTTCTTTGACTTTTGTTTCAAAAAAGCTTTGAATTTTATCATGAATTCTCAAATGGTAGTGAATTATACTTAGTCCTGTGTGAGTCATGTTATTCATACATAGGCCTTATTCTTACTGTGGCATTTGGAGGATCTTAACTATCTGGGACATTGCAGCTATAGTTCAATATGTTGTGAAGTACCACATGCTTTCTGGGTTTCCTTCTCCCATCTCATCAGCCAAAATTCGTTCTCCTCAGTTTGGAATGATATATTAGACCACAGCTTTCACCTGATTGCCTTACCATTCAAGATATGACATTAGCCTTCCAATCTCTTACTATATTTCATTCTCAGGTATGTTCTTTCCCTTATTTTTGGTCTGGGTCCTTTGATATTTCTCATTTTTTACTTCATGGTCAACAATTCTTGAAGTTTACCATGTCTTTCCTCTTTGCCTGTTATTAGGATTTATACTGTTTCCTTTCTGTAATATCTCCGCTCTCACACCCAAATGCTTCATCCCCTCACATTTGTGACTCTTTTTGTCCTGAGTTGTAGACTTTCCTCCTTGCCTTTTCTCATTTCCTGTCTTTAATATCTATTTGGCCAGCTGGAGGATTGGGTCTCTTACCTACTATTTTACTCTTTGGTTCCCCATTTATGCATTTTCAACTTTTTCTCACTACCCTCCTGTAATCGGTTGCTTACCTCTGTCTTTTGTGTGAGGCACTTTGTTGTGTTTCAGATGGTTTTCTGAAGATATTCATTCTTCTCTTTGCCAGCTTAACCTGTTCCACTTCTGCTTTATCCCCCCTTACTTGTTCCCCTGATGTGAAGACTTGTTGGGTTAGACTACATTTTTCTTTACTGTCCTCCTTCCTTTCTACACTTGGATGTCTTCAATGTTGTTCATTTCTTCCCTTCAACACAGCATTGGTCCCATATGTATCACAAGAGCCTTTGCTTGCCATATTAATGAGTTTGAGCTGGCATTCCTTTTCTTGGGTGATTGGCTTCTCGTGACGCATTCTCAGATGGTATCCTCATCTCACACCTCCATTTCTTTTACAGGAGTCTACCAAGTTGGGGTGGCTTGTCATAAGATCTACATTCTTTTTTCACACCCACTCAATATTTGGTACTTCTGGGCATTTTCTTTATCTCTTGTTTCAGCCAAGTTCAGTCTTCTCTTTGTCTATGAATTATGGTGTATCTCATCACCAGGGTTTGCAATTCTCATCTTGCGTGATCGGTTCTTTCACATTTGGGGAACTTGACTTCCCTGGAACCCCTTTTCTTTGTGGTATGCACACGTGTCTCCTCCAGTAAACCTTGTGGATCTAAAGGATACATTCTTGGGTTCCATTGTCCTCATTTGTGAATTTTCCATTTCCTCTCCACAAGGAATAGTCTTGGTAACTGAACTGCGCCCATATTACTTCCATTGTTGTCTCATCATCTCTCAAAGAATATGTATATCTTCACCAATGCTTCCCTCTCTGATTGAGGTGCATCTCTGGATGAGTACATGACTTCCAGTATTTGAATGCAGGTTGAGCATCCATTCTGTATCTACAAGTGTGCATTTCTCTCTGTTTGTTAGGTGTGTTCTCATTCCTGCCTCTACTGGTGCATCACTTAGTCACGATCTGCAACAGCATTTCCATGGTCATTTCATACATTGACCATTCAGAGGAAGCACCCATTCCTGGACCCTTTGCTTTTAGATGTTAGACCTACTTTTCTGGACCCATTCACATCGAGTTTGTCTTGTTTCATATAATTTGCTGGGTGTGACGAACTTGGACGAACCTTCTGTCTCAACCAGTCTGCATTCTTCTAGTGGAATGGTCTATACACCCCAGGTCATTTGTTGGGTTTGCTCTTGGTTCGGCATGGCTCTCTCCTACCCTGGGACCTTTCTCCTTCTACCCTTACTGAATGAGTCCATTGATTCCTCCAATTGATATATTCATCTCTAGATATTGATGCTCACTGGCTAATTCACATTTCTTTGCATTCAATTTGTCACCTTTCTCCTTTATTTGATTCTCATCTTCACTGGCCCTAATATGATATCCTCCAGGCAAGCATGTGAATGACTCTCCACACATTCATTTCTCCTTATCTACACCATCTGTATTTTAGTTTTCCACTGGTCCCCATTCTTCATCACACACCATTGTCTTTGAGAAGAATACATACATTTCTTTTTCAGGGCCCCTTTTTACTTTCAAAGGATCTGTCCAGGTGGCTGTCATTTCCTCCCAGGGTATAATTACCAAAAACTTGCATCAAGCCAGGATAATGGAAAATGTTTGTGCCATCTGCTCTGGCTCTACCACTGTCCACTGTAAGATAGGGTGTTTCACAAGACTACTTTAGATATCCTTATGTTATACATATTAACTTAATTGTCTGATCCAAACTGCACCTATTCCATGGACAATCACAGAAAAAACCAGCACTAAGGAGGTGTTCTGCCATTCCACTGTCTCCAGTAAAAGACTTCTCTGGCTGGAGTACAATGGGCCTCCACAATGTGAATTCATCTCTTCCCTCCCCTTTTGTCGAGTGGAGCACAAAAGACTTTTATCATTTATCAGTTCTTAGCCATTAGGGTGGTGGACCACAGAGAATCCTCAGTGGTTGAGCTTAGCACAATACGGTGAGAAGTAAGGTGATAGTGACACTATTGAAGTAGTATAGATCTCTCCTCTAAACTGTAACTCATGCCACTTGTGCCCTCCTCCTGCAACCAGAGCCTATTCGGTAGAATTGAGGTGAACACACACTGTCTGGAATCATAAGACATAACTGATGTGACCTCCTCCTGCAGCAATTGTCTGTACAATAGAGTCGAGGTGACCATACAATATATATGAAATCATACTGCATAACTCCTCCTGTAGCTGAAGTCTGTTCGGAAGAGTTGAGGTGAACACGCAAGGTATGGTCTGAACATGCCCCAACCACACTACATGGTTGTGTCCATATGAAGCCTTTGCCATCAGGTGTCACAATCCATGAGCTTCCTTTTAGGTGCTTTCTGAAGAGAGCTCATCTAGGTAAAATTTTGCACCGGCTCTTCCACTGATTGAACATGGGACTCTAGTTTTCTGCGTGTGGAGCTGAGTTATTGTGTCAGAATGTTACATTTTCCTAATCTGAAAATGTATTTCTGATAGATACTTACCTCCACCCACATTCCCACCCATCCTCCTCCTTTCTGTAGCTTATTTTTGTCTTGCCTTGTCAAAGAATGAAGTTATTACGAGTGCAAGTGCATAGTGGGAGTTACTACACATGGAGGTTGTGTCACCCTCCTATTGGTAGAAGGTTTTTATTGCATGATGACATCATCATGCTCCAACACAATATGTGTCAAAGCACATGAAATTAGGTGAAAATTGCCTCAAGACTAGTGGCATGCAAATCTATTAGGCAGAAATGCAAGAATGATAACTTTTCTGTATGAAGAGGTAAGTATTTATCAGAAATACTTTTTCAGAATAGCAAAATTTAACTTTCCACTTTCGTTATTGACCCATTGCAATTATAAAACTTCTCTATCTTACTATTAGTCATGCATGTGATTTCCTTAATTGTCATTAGTTGAAGTAGTAATAGTAGTCTATATACAACTTTGGTCAGTGGGGAAGCTTCTTATGATTCTTAAACATTTTCTTCCAAAGGTAATTACTTGTTAAGCAGCCACTGACAGCTGCAAGAAAGGGAGAAATTTAATTTTTATGATTCATTTAATGTTGTCAAAAAGTGAAGTTTTATTATATAGAAATTTTTAAATGTTTATATTTCTGAGCATGCATCTGAATTTTATTTACTGGTGTTTAGCATTAACTTTCATATTTAATGATGTGTAGAACTGGTATGAGTACAAGTTCATTTTTGACAGTTTTCAGGAAGAGTTAAATAAAAAAAAAAAAATTTCTAGACTTAGAGAAGATTTGTCCTTTTATCTAAAAGATTTTGTCTCTTGTTTTTTTAGCTTTTAATATTTATTCTGACAGTTTAAAAGCATGTTAAGGTACAAATATTGGTTTTATTTGAAAATATGAATA